CAGAATTCCCCAGCCAGCATTCGCTGGCTGGGGAATTCTGGGAGTTGAAGTCCGGACATCTTCAAGTTGCCAAGGTTGAGAAACACTGCACTACAGACCTCCCGAGGCAGCCATTGTGGGATCCACCTGCTCTTTGGCTGCTTGCCAGCCTCCTCTGCTGCATTCTGCGCCGGTCGTTGCTTCTGGGGCCTCCCCAGTTGCAGTGGCCAAGATGGCATCAGGCAGTCAAGCAAGCCCAGTTGATCGCCCACTCCTCTTGCCCCGGCCTGCCTCCTCCTCCTCCTCCTTTCCCCCTTGCCCTCCTCCTGCCTGTTTCAGGAGGCTGGCGAGCGGTGGGGTCCCTGGAGTGTTTTGCCCCTCCAGCGCAAGGGAATTGTTTCCACGTGGCATTTTTCACTTGCTTCTTAACCGCCGTTGCGGTGCTTGTGAGTGTGGTCGTTGTGCCCCCTTGCACCAGAGTATATTGCACACGCAGGCAGCCGTGATGGGGTGTTGGCTGCCCTGCCAGCGCTGTGCTCCCACAGGAGAGCTCCCACTGAAACGGCCTCATTCCCACATGCTCCCAGTTCTGCTTCTATCTCGTTACCTATTTTATCCCTTGGGACGATCATTTTCCCCCGGGTTTCGTGGCCAAGGGGGTCCCCACGCATCCGCAAGCCAGACCGGACCCTCAAATTGGGCCGGGTTTGCAAGCAGCCCTCTCTGCATCCCAGGTAAGGGTCAAGCCGGCCGGCCGGGCTCCTGGCTGGTTTCCAGCCACCAAAGTGGCCGGGCTGGAGAGGTCCTGTTTCCCCCACTATTTCCATAGCTGGCCACAAGGTGGCCCCCTTGCGTTGCCCATCCGCCTCTGAAATAAACCCCCTTCTACTAATTGCATTTGTCAGCCAGGTGAGCAGGTGCTTTAAAAACCCATTCCGTCCACCTGCCTGATGTCCCTCTCCGAGGTAGGCTGACCGGGTCCCTGTGGCCAACCCTCCCCCACTCTCTCCCGCTGCAGCCCCCCGAGGGAACCCAGCAGCCTCAGGCCAAGACAGCTGCCCACCGGCTTTCCTCTTTAAGGAGGCGCTTTGAAGGGAAAACCGACCACTTCTTAAAGTCCATTTAAAAGTGGATGTCCAAGGAGAGAAGAAAGGAGGGAAGGAAGGAGGAAAGGAAGGAGAGAAGGAGAAAAGAAAGGAGGGAAGGAAGGAGGGAAGGAGAGAAGGAGGGAGGGAAGGAAGGGGAGTAGGAGAGAAGGAAGGGGGGAAGGAAGGAGGGAAGGAAGGGGGAAAGGAAGGAGAGAAGGAGAAAAGAAAGGGAAGGAGGGAAGGGGAAGGAGGGAGGGAAGGAAGGAGAGAAGAAAGGAGGGAAGGAAGGAGGGAAGGAGAGAAGGAGGGAGGGAAGGTAGGGGAGGAGGAGAGAAGGAAGGGGGGAAGGAAGGAGGGAAGGAATGGGGAAAGGAAGGAGAGAAGGAGAAAAGAAAGGAGGGAAGGAAGGAGGGAAGGAGAGAAGGAGGGAGGGAAGGTAGGGGAGG